AACCAAACAAAATCCGAAAAACCAAAAACCAATCGACCAACAACAATCCCTGCCCCAAACCACCACTACCACCACCACCACAAAAACAAAACAAAACAAAACAAAACAACAACAAAAAAACCTCTAAAGAATATACTCTTGAATTGCTGGGGTTATCATTTGGAGGCTAAATTTGAAAATGCTGGGGAAATAGAATCTCATTTTTCTCATTGGAAATTAGTCTTTCAAGAAAAAGAATATTCTTATGGGCTAGAGAAATGTCTTAGCAGTTAAAAGTATTTGCCATCCAACCATAGGTGTTCCTCCCACCCCCATCGCCCCCCCCCACACTCCCTGTAACTCCAGCTGAGAATCCAAAACCACCCTCCTTCACCAGAGGGGAATATTATATAGTGTAATTCTATGCCATTAAACTATACTTCTTTTCCCTCAAAAATTATTGGTGTGGCTTTATGAGCATGCCTGTAAATCCCAGCAGCACTCAGGAGGCTAAAGAGGATCTGTACTTAGGCCATCCTTGATAATATAATGAGACCCTGTCTGAGTTACCTTTCTATTTCTGTGAAGAGACACCTTGACCAAGACAACTTAATAAGGGAACATTTAATTGGGGGCTTGCTTACAGTTTTGAGGGTGAGTCTATGACCATCATGGTTGGGAGTATGGCAGCAGGCAGGCACTAGAGCAGCAGCTCAGAATTTCTGTCTTATCTGCAAGTGGGAGGCAGAGCCTGGGCCTGGAGTGGGCTTTTGAAGCCTTAAAGCCCACCCTCCATGACACCTCCTCCAACAAGGCCACACCTCTTGATCCTTTCCAAAACAGTTCTACCAACTGAAATATATGAGTTTACGGGGCCATTCTCACTCATACCACCACAGATCCTTTTTATACACATACTCAGGTTGAGGCATAGTGAGTTTTTAAATTGCTGGCTTCATCATAACATTTTCATAAATGTATAAAGTTTATTTAGATCACACTCATATCCCTCTTTGCCCTCTTTGTTCATTCCCTCTGGTTTCCTTTCTTCTTAAATAGAGTGCCTTCAACTGTCATCTTAAAAAAGAAATCTATATTCTAGAAGGGGACGGTGGCACATGCATGCCTTTATTCCCAGAGTTGGTCTACAAATTGAGTTTTATGCCAGCCAGGGTCACACAGTGACACCCTATTTCAAAACAAATTAAGATCTCGAGAAAATTAGAAAAAATGTGGTATTTGTCTGAGTTAGGCTTATTTTGATCAATGGTATCTCTGATCCTACCCATTTTCCTGCAAATGACTAATTTCATCTGTTTAAGGTGGATGGAATACCCCTGTGCATGTATACCACATTTTCTTTGTTCACAGACACCTAGGCTGGTCTGTATCTTGGCTACTGTAGCTAGTGCAACAGTAGGGATGGGTGTGATGTATCTCTGTGGTAAGCTGCTTCTAATTCCTTTTGGTATATATTCAGGAGTGGTACAGCAGGACCATATGGTGGTTTTATTTTTAGTTGCCTTTTTAAAAAAAGGAATCCCCAAGTTCATTTCCATAGTGGCTGAACTAACTTAAATTCTACCAGCAGCATATAAAAGGTTCTTTCTCTATATCCTCACCAGCATTTGTTATTTTCTTGATGAAAGCCATTCTGACAGGGGTGAAAGGGATTCTCAGTGCAGTTTTGATTTTCATTTCTTCTATAGCTAAGGATGTTGAGCAGGTTTTTGAGTGCATTTATTGGTCATTTGTATTCTTTTTTAAAATTTACATTTCTTTTGAGAATTGTCTGTTCAGTGAATTTGCCCACTAATTGGATTATTTGTTCTATTAATGCTAAAGTCATGTTTTTATTCTCTATATGCAGACATATACAATTATTTACACGTTAGCTGATGAGTGGACATTTTAAGTTGTTCTCTGTTAGATTACCTAGAAGCCAGTTTTGTTTTGGTATTTCATTATTTTTCATAATGTCACCATCTGATACCAGTATTTGTTTTTGTCCAACTATTGGTAAAACATAAGTACTGGGCCAAAGATGGAAATCATTAGGTGTGTGACAAATGTTTGGCTTTAACCAGACAATGTGTGAACAACAATCAAGAATGATTAAGTATGAAATTTTGGAAAGACACTGCTGAAGGTCTTAGCAAAGGTCATGAAACAGTATACATCTGATGTCCTAAAATCACTCAAGCCCATACCACACACTGAGCATCCTTAAATCTATGTTCAACTGTCAATTACTTGACTTTACTAAGTACCTTTAAAAGCTCATCGTGTACCAGGTACTGTGAATGACTTATAGAGTAAACAACATTTTTTTAAATTTTATTTTTTATTTTTTGTCTTTTCGAGACAGGGTTTCTCTGTGGCTTTTGGAGGCTGTCCTGGAACTACCTCTTGTAGACCAGGCTAGTCTTGAACTCACAGAGATCGCCTGCCTCTGACTCCCGAGTGCTGGGATTAAAGGCGTGGGTCACCACCGCCTGGCTGTAATTTTAATTAATTAATTAATTAATTAATTAATTTATTCGAGACAAGGTTTTTCTGTATTGCTTAGGAAGTTGTCCTGGAACTTGCTATGTAGACCAGGCTGGCCTTGAACTCACAGAGATTCGCCTACCTCTGCCTCCCAAGAGCTGGAATTAAAGGGGTGTGCCACTAACTCCCGGCTCAGAATAAACAATTTTTAGTGACTATGTCCAACACAGACTGAGAAATAGAATGGTCCTTGGAGTTCATCTTCTTCAAAGTGAATTCTGCTGATGAAATAATTGCAAACCACACAGATGATTTTGCTTGCCTAAGACTCCTCAGACTGGTGTTGAAACTGGAACACGGAACTTCTTACTCAGTACTTTTTCCATCATGGCTGTTGTGATGTCCTGCCACCCTTCAAGATTAGTTTCTTGAAAATCACGAGGCACGATTCCTGGTGGCTTTGGAACTACTAGCACCCACCCCCCCAGCTCCCTGGACTGTGGGTGTGGGCAGCCCTACTCTACAGAATTACTACCACTATGTCAATACCAGCCAGGGTTTCAGATGTTTTAAAATGTCTTCTATGAGACAGTGACTTGGATGAGTAGGTAAAGGCTTTTGCTGTCAAGCCTGACAACCTGAATTTGATCCCTGGGATCCACATGGCGGGAGAATAGACTCTGGAAAGTTGTTTTCTATCCTGACACCTGGACTACATACGGTGTGCATACCTTGTACCCACAAATAAATAAATGTAATAATTTAAAAATGAACGTTCTCTGCCTTTAGTCATTCAAGTGTAAAGTTAAATATCACTGTTTTGTAAAGGTGACTTCTAGGAAGATTATCCTTTACACAGCTTCCTATCTCACTTGAAATAATACATTTACTTCTTATTATGTGTCTTTTCCAATAGATTATAAATTCCACTAAATTTACAACTGTTTAGCACCCAGCACAGTATTGGCATACAAAAGAAGCTCAAACAGTATTCTTTTAATACACAAATAGATGTTGCTCTCTAATCACAGCTACAGCAAGTCTTATGAAAGGTCTAACTGTCCCTCCTAAACTTTCCTAAACTTAGTACGAAAGCCCAGGGCTTACAGTGCCAGGAAAGTAGACTGGAGCTGGGATTTTAGTTTAGCATCCATTCTGATGAGAAAGATTCAGCCGTGGAATGAGAATCTTTTCAAGAAAAAGCAGATGGCCCAGGTACAGTTGCTCCCTGCATGAAACAGGTCAATCCTGTCAACTGCTTAGGTGTCTTTTAACAACGAGGGTCTGAAGTTCACTCTTTTCAGCTGTTGTTTTGAATTAGGTTACAAAAAGGAACATAAACAAACTGGTTAAGAACTAACCTAAGAGAGGGCCAGGGATTATGGTGCGCCCCTGAGGTCAAGGCCAGTTTGCTTTACTTAGTAAGTTCCAGGACAGCCAGGACTACACAGAGAGACCCTGACACCCCTCAACCTCCAAAAGAGAATAAACCTAAGAGAGACTGGAGAGATGGCTTGGAGGTTTAGAGCACTGGCTGCTTTCCCAGAGGATCCAGGTTCTATTCCCAGCAACCACACAGCAGCTCACAATCTTCAACTCCAAATTCCAGGAGATCTGATGTCTACTTTTAGCCTCTGTCAGCACCAGGCATGCAACTGGTGCACATACACACACGTAGCTGAAACAACCACATACCTATTAAATTTAAACCATATACATATTAAATTTAAAAAATAACTATCTGAGAGAGCTCTCTAATGAAACTTCAAAATAGTTATTTCAGGTTATAAGCCTTTTATAATTATTTGGTACATACAACTTCTACTGAGTATACAACCAATAATAGGCCCAAATAAATGAAGCCCAGTGAAGACTAAAGCACTAAAACACGTCATTTTTAGAAGTGTGAGACACCCTTACCCCACCCTTGTGCTGTGGATAAAACCCAGAGCCCAAAGAACACTAGGCAAGTGCTCTGATCCTGAGCTATACTTTCAGTCCGAGCAAACTTTTAAACACACACATAAATACAGTTATGCTCAATTACTGTAACAGCTCTGAAGAAAATGATGCTTCAGTTTACACAAATAAGTGGTTTTGTCCAAAGTATTGGAACTGTTAGATCTCTAGCTCCCAAATTGGCACTTGTCTCATTCTACTAGATTACACCACACTGGAGAATTATCCATTGCATAGGTTTGGCCATATTTCTATCCCCATCTTGGATTAAAGATACCTTTCTTCCAAATTTCACTGGGAAAGGAACAAGACAAATTTAAAAATAACTTCAAAGGTATCAATAAAAAAACCTATTTTGTTGACTATTACAGTATTTATAAATATTTAATATAAATGAACTAGAATGGTGACTGAAGAGTTTAATGACTAATATGTCCTTAACTTTTATAACTAAAGATCAACAGTTATTAAATATGATTTCTTTTCATCACCCAATGAAGACTGCTTCAATTCAGAACAGCAACTTCATTAATCAATTCAGACCCTGAAAAGGAATATTTTCTTTTTTAAAGTTGAGTAAAGCACAGAGAACAAGACTGGCATTTATTGTGGCATAAATGGCAAAGGAGAAAAGAGCCAACATTATCTTATTTTTGGCCACTAGTTGTTTTAAAAAAATACAAGGGGAAGTAAGCTACTGAGCAAAGACAGAGCAAGGTAAAACATTCCCACCCTGTCTTAGAGTCTGGGAAGAACTTCAAAACCCTGCACTGCAATGTCTTCCTCTCTTCTTCTTTGAGATGTTATCCAGGCTCAAGTTACTCTCCTGTGCCAGCTTCTCCAGCAGCTGGCCAACAGGCCCAGCTACTTCTTCTCCCTCCCTCCTCCACTTTAATTGAGGTAACAGACTTGAAAGTCCACTTGCTCTGAATAGTTTCTTGGGGGAGTTTATCTGTCCATGCAAAACCTTTGACTCTTTAAGAAAACAGAGACCATTACTATTTTTCATATATTATCCCTCACAGCACAAGAATTGCACACTGAAAGCCACATTTCTAAAATGCAAACACCCAGTCTTCTCTATGTACTCATGTGCAGAGTCCTTGCCACAGTCTTTGCTATGTACTCATGTGCAGAGTCCTTGCTGTAGAGTTCTTTTACTCAAGCAATCTTTCAGCTACAGAAGACAGGAATGAGTAAATCTTGGAAAAGGGATAACATCTTTGATGTTGTCAACTCCTAGGATGCATTGTAAGTAACGTTCAAATCCCATTCCAAAGCCTCCGTGTGGCACTGATCCAAACTGACGAAGGTCCAGGTACCTGTTTTTAAAAAGAGAGAATTGTTACTTATAAACTCTGTAAGTATTTATAAATTCTTATAAGCTCTATATGAAGTCAAATGCTATGATAGGAATTTTTTTATTTACAGACATTTGTTGTTTAAGTCACTGTGGTAGAGCACACCCAACTTTTCATTCCACAGAGACCATGAAAACGGAGAAGTCAGAGAGACCTAACTATCCAAGGATACCTAAATAAGCAGCAGTGGATTCTGCTGTGCAGTTGTGGGCTTTGGTCACTTGACCTTTTTCCTTTTCAAGTTTTTTATGCATCATTCATGTACAGAAAACTTGTCACATGACACTTTCATACTAGCTTTCTTTTTTCTTTTCATGTCCCAATTTAATGATATACTAATCCCTTCCACCCACCCCCCACCCCAAGACAGGGTTTCTCTGTGTAGCCTTGGCTATCCTGGAACTTGCTCTGTAGACCAGGTTGGCCTAGAACTCACAGAGCTCTGCCTGCCTCTGCCTCCCAAGTACTAGAAAACACACTTCAAAAAATTTTTTTTTGGTATGCTAATGGCAGCATTTCCCTCCTCACTCATCTATTTAATACAGAGAGGAGAGTGAAGAATTTGTTTTTGTTTGTGTATATTTATGTACGTGTGCTTATGTGGGTATACGTGGAGGCCACTTACCATGCTTCTACTCCAACTATGATTGAAACTCAGATTCCCAATAGTTATTTTAGGAGGAAAGGAAAAGGACTGCCATGTAAATAATCTTATTATACCATTTGAGTGGGAATTTCTTTTAGCTTACCTTTTTATTACATTTACGTGTGTGTGTGTGTGTGTGTGTGTGTGTGTGTGTGTGTGTGTGTATGTGTGTGTGTATGTGTGGCACTTGTGCAGAGGTTGGAGGACAACTTTTAGAAGTCATGCCTCTTCTACACCACAGTGGCCTAGGGATCACACTAAAGTTGTCAGACTTGGTGGCAAGTACTTTTACCCACGAAGACATCTCATTGCTCTAGTTTGAAAATTCTTGACTCGTATGTATAAACTAAAACAAATTCATGGTTTCTCAAATAGTTTATGAAATCAGCTCCACAATAAGACTTTGAAGTACCATAGCTGGTGCCATTTGGCTCTTCAGGCATAGAGATGACCTGTCAGCTGCTTCCTCAGTGCTAGTGCTGACACACTGACACTTTACAGTAAAGATTCTAACAAATGATAAACAGCAACCAGATGAGCTGTACCCAGGAGAGATAAATATGATAGGGGTTTTATTAGACAACCTTTGATTAGTAAGAACTATAGGGAATAAATGGAGTAAACACAGTCTTAGATGTGCAGTTTTGAAGGCTGATTTCACTTTACAAGGCATGGAAACAATGTACACTATTTTGACTCCCTGACAGTCTGAGATGATGGCACAGCAAACAGTTGTCACAAATACCTGTAGGACCAAAGTTGGCTGCAGAGGTTCTGTAATGGGATTCATGTATAAACTTCTTTTGTGCATGAATGTAATAAGCTGAATCAGCAGGAGAATTTGGCTTACTTACTAGGTTTTGCCTGACTTTGTTTTGATATAGGTAACAAAAATATACTTTTTTTTTTTTTTTTTTTTTTTTTTTCAAGACAGGGTTTTTCTGTAGCTTTGGAGCCTATCCTGGAAGTCACTCAGCAGACCAGGCTGGCCTTGAACTCACAGAGGTCTGCCTGTCTCTGCCTCCCCAGTGCTGGAATTAAAGGTGAGCGCCACCACAGCCTGGCTGAAAAATCTACTTTTAACAAAAATAGAGGGTGTATTTTTGAGTGTGTGTGTGTGTGAACAAGGTATCACTATGCAATCCCAGTTGGTCTGGAACTCATTCTGTAGACCAGACTGGCCTCAAACTCTTGTCTCTGCCTCCCAGGTTCTGGGATCACAGTTTACTACCGTGCCATGTTTCAGATCTGTATTTTGATTCTAACACAAGCAGGTAAAGAAAAGATGCCAGAAAATATCTGGAGTTGGTTTTATTTGCATGTGACAGCAGAAATAGGAAGTACACCCTCAGACACCTGGCTTCTCAAAGCCCAGAGGAACTTTCACAGACATCACGGGTGTAAAACTTTCTTAAGTTCCTTTCACCTTTAACATGCTATGCCTACCACATAAGAGAAAGGGGATTCAAGTCATTAATATTTATATCTGAAGATCCTATGTGTGTGTGAAACTTTTAGTTAGAAAAATAGTCTAGGATCTGGAGAGATAACTCAGCTGGCATAGCAGCTTGTAGTTAAGCCCGTTGCCCTGAGTTCTATCCTGGGACCACAAGGTAGAGAGAGAATCAGTTCTCAAGGGCTGTCCTCTGATCTCCACATGCTTGCTGTGGCATGTGAGTTTTCTTCCTCCCAAAAAGCAAAGTTAAAATATTAAAAAAAGAAAGAAGAAATGTATATATGATTTAATAAGTATACTTATTTAATCAATATATAAGATTTGCTGTTATTTAAGCAAGTTTTAAACACTGTGAATATTAGCTGATAGAATCTGAGGGGAAAATAGTATATTTGGCTCAAAAGATTTACCTACTAAATAGCAAAACTTAGAAGAAAAGGAGAAAAGGGGTGTAGAAACTAACATTTACTGAACTGCTTCTACTCAATGTAAATACAATGTCTATTTTTTCATTTCATACAATAACTGTGAAACAGATATTATCATTTCATTTTATAATCATGAAAAACAAGAAACTAAGAGAGATCAAGATACTTAAGGATATTGCTGGTAACTACCAGGCAGTCAAAAGCCATTAGCTGAACTTTGGAACTCTGAAACCTATTGCCTTTGTTACCAAAAGGCAAGAGTATAATTTGTCATGTCCTCCTAAGAATGACAAAACAGTTAATGATATTGCTGATAATTATTATATTATCAAGATCCTTAAAGTGGCACTATTGTAGACATGTAAATAGTCTTTCTACATTTGCAAGTACTGGACGAGTCTGCAGAAAGAAAACCAGAACAACTTTGTGGAAGTGAATGTGACTTCGGACAGGTGGTTCTGAAGCACTCCAGGGCTCAGAACTCTTGGCTATCTAACACATCACTTATCAAAGCTCCCAATGTCAAACATAGGGAAACTGAAGCATAATGGGTTAAGAGCAAAGGCTTTTTGCCTGGCCTATATAGCAAGACCTTATTTCAATAAATGAACAAAAGCATAAAGATAGAGTTAGTTTGGAGTATGGAGGAGTTCTCAGCTCCATCCTAACCATGTCTTGGTTAAGTTAGTTCACGTTTGGCCTCATGTTTAGAGGGGCAATAAAGGGATAACAACAGTGTCTACCTCTCTAAGGGTTGGGATGATTACAGGAAATACAAATGTAAGAATGTGAACATTGTTTTCTGATATTTAAGAAGTAGTAACTAAATGGTAAATGTCAGTTTTACTGTTTTCCATCTTAGCATCTGCTCATAGGGGCAGGAGAATACAAGTACAGTCCTTTCCACATGACACACAGAATGCACGCAGAACAGGGGCCACATCCTTACCACTGGTAGGCTTTCCTAAGTCCTGATCTGTAAAAAGAAAATAAAGAAAAAAAATCGAGACGTTAGCAAAATATTTATTAATCAACCACCAAACATTTACTCTAGGTTGTGTACACAGGGACCTTTGTAAGGAAGCACACACAGAGAAGCCAGTGTCCTCCAATCATTCACCATAGAAATGAGGAGGTGATGTTTTCTATTAGAGAGGAGACTTTCTATTAATAATAAGGCAATCGATATTACCAGTAAACAATGAGGTACTCTAAAATAAGAGGCATAGGCAATAATGCGATAGAATGAAAATAGGACTTGAAGGGGTTGGTCTGACATGAGCTTACTATCGGTCTCTGCTTGGTCAAGGTCCCTGGGAGCACCCACAGACAATGCGCACTTGGACACAACTTTTATCCTACAATATATAAAATAATGGTGTAATTCTGTGGTTGCTTTCATAATACTACTGCAACTTAGTTCTTATTGAAAGAAATGTGAGCAACATTTTACGTGCTTAGTGGCTATTACAATAACCCCAGCCCTTTAAAAATGTATTTAGAATCATATCTGAAATGACAAGAGCCATCAAAGTTTTAATTTTCTGAAGTGCAGAAAACATGAGCTACAGCTACAGATGAATCCACGAGACAGAGGAACATGCATCTACTTCACTGGGAAAGAAAAATGTGGATCGTGTCCGATATTAGGTAAGGTTTCCTGAAGGAAGCAGGGCCTGAAGGAAATGGACCAATTAATCTATCAACAGATGAGGTTTCTTGTCATGTGTGATTTTTATTGTGCTTAAAAAATTTGTAGAGAAACTTCAAATTCTTTCATCTAAAGATTCTGACTTTGACTTCAATTCGACACTTCCCAGGACTATCTAACAGTGAGTGGCAGCAAGGTAGTCTAGTCAATAAAGGTAATCTCCCACAGCTTTTACTTGCCTTCTTTTGGAGCTGAATCTAATGGAGCGGCTGAGACGTGTGGGATTGCAACACCAAGTTACTCAGGAGATTTACAGACTGGGATCTTGGAAAAGTATCAACTTTCAAGGCATGTTTCCATTAGGAAAAGGTGGCCTTAAAAGTGGCTAATTTAGTAGGATGTTTTCAAAATGTTTCTTTCCAAGTGTGACAAAACCCAGTACTATTGGAGAGAAGGACTAATATAGACAAGGAGAAAAAAAGCTAACGTCTGATACAGCAAAAGTGGAAACCACAGAAAACAGACTTATAACCATGGTCAGTTTAGGAAGTCATTGTGGTTTTCTTGAAGATCACTCATAAGGGAGTGATAGGTCAATTAGAAATAAGATTCCTTACTTTCTACCTCCAAAATATTTTTTAATGTAACCTATGGATTCTTTTTACAGATCTCAAAAAGTAAATTGAAACAAAGTTATTCAAATAGCTAAATGAGGACTCGTGCATAATAGAGAATTCAAGGCAAAGGGAATCTACTTATAAATGCTAGCTTAGCATTTTTCTGTCTTCATTCTTTTCTTAGTCTGTCTTTATAACCCAGTGGGATCATGACATTCATTAAACAGAGCACATAAAAAGTACACAAATAAGAGAAAACTGAAGGAGAAGCTTTGAAGGGCTTGGCAATTTCTCTTGCCTTTTTAAATTTTCAGACAGGGTTTTAAGTTTTATGCAATTGTGTCTGATCTGAAACACATTATGGAGACCTGGATGGCCTAGAAACTTAAGAATCATCCTGCTTCTGCCTCTAAGTGCTGGACCTATAGGCATATGCCATCATGTTTGTTTGTTTGTTTTTCCTTGCCTTGACCTCTCTCTGAGTTTATAAGTGTGCACTCCTATACCTGCCAACAGACCCAGTCTTCAAGAAAGAGATGCTTATAGATGTGAGAGAAACACTCCCCAGGATCACATGGAGCCTGAGCGCCAGGCTTGTCAGGTGTGAAGAGTTTTTGTTACTGCTTTGAGGACCCCCTCCCCGGTTACTTCAGTGTGTTTCTTTTAGGTCTGACCAATACCTGGCTAGTCGATGCTCTAGGATGTGGTACCGTTCCTCCCTGAGGCTTCCTCCAAAGAGCTCCCCAACTCCAGGGACCAGAAGATCAACAGCAGCAACCTAAAGAAGGAACCAACCAACCATGAACAGCACTATTATGCCTTGTGACTCCAACCAATTTGGATTTTCAAGCAAGTGGAACATTTTCTTGAAACAATTTTAAAACTGACTGTTTGACTGCTTATTAGAATCTTATTTGGGGGATATGTCTTAAACCAGCTAGAGCAGAAGTTCTTAACCTGTGGGTTGCGACCCCCACAGGGGTCATGTGTCTGATACTGCATATCAGATATTTACATTATGACTCATAACAGTAGCAAAATTATAGTTATAAAATAATCTTATGATGGGGTGCACGGGGGAGGGGGTCACTACAACATGAGCAACTGTATTAAAGGGTTACAGCACTTAGGAAGGTTGAGAACCACTGAGCTAGAGCATATCACCAGAAGCTACAAGTACTGAAAGTTCCCTTTGGGAAATATCTGTATCTTTTAATTATATGGCTAAAAGCATATTTACTTATTCTTGTTTATAAGCTTCATTGTGACTACTCTTAACAACAAATGAATGGCACAGGAACCCTCAGTGCTTGTTTATGTTAGTCTTTTTCTTAGAAATTTGTCAAGCCACTGGCAAAATTCAGCCCATAACCTTGAGTTTTTGAACATCCTCTGTATTAACAATCATTTCTACTTTAAAGGGGAAAAAAGATTCTAGAAACAGAATATAGGACCAGAATACACAGCATTGGTGTAGCTCTGGTAGTTCCAGGGAGTAATAAAGTAACAGAAACCAGAGCTAAACATCTCATTAAAGATTTGCCAGTTGCAGAGAAAAATGTCTTAATTCAAAGATGACCAAGTTTGAGCCTTTTTAGTATGAATCTCCGCAGTGTTTCTCTGCAGCCTGACATCTAAATAGTTGAAGGACTATTTTATTATCAGCTAAGGGGATAACAGAGGCTAAAGCACTTTTTTTTTTTTTTTTTCACATCTCCCTAACTCTCCTAGCTTAAACAAAACCTGTTTCACTCTGCACATCTTCTAGGCCCAGAGTGCTTCCTGGCCATCTTCCTCCACTGGGTATGAGTTTTGATTCTGCTTAAGGCACACAGCTGCAGCAGCAAGCTGTCTAGAAATAGTTTATGTTGGTATTCAAGCTGAGCGAACCCTGGTTTCTATTTGTGATGTTCCCTTCTGACTCTGACTCTGATTCCAATCAATGTACTCAAAATAAAACTTAGATTTTCAATTAAAAAATAGGTTAAGTGGGAACAAAGCTTTTGATATATGACTTTCTTCTGCTGCCTGACCTTCTGCCCCCGGACAGAAGGTAAGATGAGGAAATATCCTCTGATACCACAATCAGGGGGTGCAGATGGCCTGAAATTTACTTGTATTCTTATAAATTCTGAGTCAATCTCATTACTTGTGTTTGCTAAACAGGCAAAGTGTTACAGCTTACAAACATATTAATGGTTTCAAAGGAATGGAAGTCTCACCTTGTCTCAAAATATGTTTCCATTCCCTCAGGGTCAAGGTAATTACCACACTTCTCTTTTACTTAGGGAGTTCTAAATTCCAAGCTAGCCAGCAGAAATCAGCTGGGAGCTACATAAACATACACGTTATCTGAGTTCTTCCTCTTGGGAGAAAGGAAAACATTTCTGTAAACACCACCTTTAGAATTAAAAGTCGGACTTGTGGGAATCACTTGTGACTCATTCTCAGTCCTCTACCTTCCAGTTCAGTTCACAGACCATTAATAGTTCTTTAGAATAGTGTGTGCACGTGCATGCATGTGCATGTGTGGAGGTCAGAGAATAACTAACAGGAGTTTGTTCTTCTTTCCACTCAGGCTGTCAGGCTTGGTGGCAAGTACCTTTATCCATGGAGCCATCTTGGTGGATCCTCTAATACTTTTGCAGAGTTTAGTTTGCAGAGATAACTAAACAATTTTATAAATGCTAGTTCTGACTTTCACAAACCATTTGCAGTGATAAAAGAACTTTAAAGTGAACTTGCTTCTTAAAATATAACACATATGTAAAAGTACACAAATAAACAGTGTATAGCTTTGTTAATTTTCATAAAATGAGCACAGCTTGTGTCACTAACCCAGATTAAGAAAGAGAACAGGATTAACACCCCACAAAGTCCTTGTTGTGCCCTCTTTTGGTTGTCACACCTACAAAGAATTATGTTTTTCTTGACTATAATCATACAGGCCCAAGCTGCTATTTTGAACTCCCTATAAACAGCACCACGCAGCACAGAGTTCTGGGGGCTGGCTCTTTTCACTGCTATCTGTCTTTGTGGGACTCATCATGCTGACATTGCCTTCTTCACTCTATCTGCTGGTCTAATGCACAAGCTATCATGATGAATTTCATTAGTCTCAGTCAAAAAGATTCATCAACTACCTCTTGACTGAACTTTTATTCTCATTGTTATACCTATTATATAATGCCCAGTAGAGCTATGAGAGTTGAGTATGACTTGTGTCTCCCAAGGGTCTGAATGAAAATTTGATCCACAGATGCCACTCGAGGGAGGTGGACACCCAGTAGAGGGTCACTAGAAACGTAAGGCACTTCTTCGGTGACTCCTATGATAGTTCTCCTGAGACTGCCAAGAGGACTGTGGAAGAACAGTAGCAGGCCGGGTCCTGAGGTTGTGGGAGAACAAGGATTCAATCAAGAACTGGGCAAAAGGGCATTTGTGCTATATTCTGGCAAAGAATATGACTGCATTCTGCCTGTGTCCTGAGAACCTGAGTAGAGCTTAATTTCAAAGGAACAGAGTAATTTCTTTGGTGGAGGACATTTCAGGACAACACAGCATTCAGACTGTTGTACTGCTACTGCTCACTGGTCTTACTCAAATCTATAGTGAGAAAAAGCACAACATAGAATATAAATGTGAAAAATGTGAAGTCTGGTGAGGAAAGGTGAATGAGCAAGTTTAAAGCTGCAGACAGAGGCAATAAGACTCCAAAACTCTGTAATTGTTAAAGAGAAGCCCCGCCTCCGTTTCCTTGTTGGGGAAGCAATGTGTCCAGCCGCCTCCCACTCCTGCTGTTATACCTTCCTAGCTATGATGCAATGTGTCCTCTCAAATTATAAGCCAATATAAACCCTGTCTTCTTTAAGTTGCCTTTTGTCAAGCATTTTGTCACAGTGATGAGAAAAGTAACTAATATACCTTTAAGTCCTGCAAAAATGGATTTAGTTATTTAAATAAGATGATATTAGTAATTTCTTGATTCTGAACTACTTCTCTTGGTTATTTATTTTTTTTATAATAGTGCAGCTTCCTTTACAATCCTACTTCACCGCCAGGCTTTGAAGGCATCTGTATTCTCTTTCATATCTGTTGCTTTAACTTAACTTGTTTCTAAGAAATGAAGAGAAATGGAACAGCAATAAAAGTTTAGAAATCTATCATAAACGTTAAAAATGATCCCTCTCTCTATATATTCCTCATCCTTACAATTCAAAGTACACATTTCATTATAAAGAACTGAGAACAATCTGAGACAAGCTGCAATGCATTCTTTTATTTGCACAAAATGCCAGAACAATTATTAGTCCCCACTAAGTAAAAATAGCAATACCTTCACTATTTCTGCTGGTTCAAGGATCAAGTTATTTTGACAAAGGCCAGTTCATTAGGCCAAGGAAATTCACTAGGTATCCTTTTGGTTGCCTGTCCTAGTGACTTCATAGTATATACTTTACTGGATGTAACTTTTTCCTGATGTAATACTTATACTAATGTAAATCACACTGACACATTTTTGAGAATCCTAACACTACCTGTTGGTCTTGGTCTATCTCATTCAGAACTGCTGGGTAGTTACTTTTTCCTATCAAATTTGGAAGTCAAGAACGAATATTCTCTAAGAAGCCATTCATATAGCTGAGTATTTTGTACTTGCAGTTAGGGTATTTGATCAATGACCCAAACCCAAGGGCACATATTTTCCATGTTTCCTTAGATTCATTATAATAGCCCTTCAAATGACAAAATTAGGCTTTGTAAGTTATGTTATTTTTCCATTTGCCAGTAAAGAAAAACAGGCAGCATGAAGTCAGAGACTCTTAGAGATGAATCTCGGAGGTCATCTACCCTGATTCTCTGGCCTGCAGAGCCTTGTATAAGGCCACACAGATATGTTGTAAGATTTCAAGCTCTCAATCCAGTGTACTTTTCATTATGTCAGGCTGCATATCATCATTTTCTTGGAGTGGGTGGCAGGAAAAAAGAAAGAAAACCATTACCATAGAAACGCAATTTTTAAAAAAATTTATTACTCTAGGTCCAAAGTTTTAAATATAGATATTTCTCTATTTTTATCTTTTACTTGCTTAGAGAAAATACTAGTGAAGCACCTCTATTTTATTGGTTTTATTTTGGGGAGGTGGGGTAGGGTAGGGTGGGGATAGTAAGATAAAAGATACTCTGTAGATTAGGCTGGTTTGTAACTCACTATGTGGTCCAGGCCAGCTTCCAACTCAGGTCAGCCCTCCTACCTCCGCCTTCCAACTGCATGAGCGAGTCACTGTACCTGTCTTTACATCTGCTTTACTTTTTAAGATTTCACTGAATCTTGTTCTAGCTCACTTTCTGTGGCTGTGATAGACACTGTGATGAAAAACAACTTGGAGAGGAAAGGGTTTATTTTATCTTATATTTCCAGGTCATAGTCCATAATTGAGGGAAGTCAGGACAAGAACTCAAGCAGGAACAGAGGCAGGGACCATGAAGGAAACTGCTTACTGTCTTGCTCTCTAGCTTCTGTTCAGCTGGCTTTCTTTTTTCTTTTCTGTTGTTCTTTTTTTCCCTCCTCTTTGTGATAGGGTTTCACTATGTAGCCTTGTCCAGCTTGGAATTTGCTATGTAGACCAGGCTGGCCTTGAACTCAAAGAGATCTGCTTTCCTCTGCCTCCTATTTTAGTTTTCTTTTTAAATTTATTTATTTTTATGTGTATGGGTTTTTTGCCTGCATGTGTGTCTGTGTACCATGTATGTACCTGGTGTGTGTGGAGGGCAGAAAAGGGCACCTGATTCCCTGGGACTGGAGCTATAGACAGTTGTGAGTTGCCATGTGGGTGTTGGGAATTGAACATGGGTCTTCTAAAAGAGCAGCTAGCGCTCTTAACCACTGAGCCATCTCTCTATCCCAATGAGCTTTCCTAAATAGCCTACGTTCTCTTGCTTAGAGATGGTACTATACAGTGGACTGGGCTTGCCTATATCAATTACCAGTCAAGAAATGCCCCAAAGACATTCCTAAAGTCCAATGTGATGGAAGCAATCCCCTGAGAGAGACACCCCCCCCAAGAGAGACATCCCCCAGTTAACCATGGGCTGTCAAGTTATCATTTAAAGCTAAACTCCTGCAAACCTACTCCAAACCTGTAATTGGAGTCTCACTGAAATATGGTATTTATTCATGTAATTCATGCCCCAAGGTTTATGCATTTACTACCGAAGGTTTTTTTTTTTTTTTGTAGAAATAGGCACTTTTTATAGGTTGGGGGATGGAAACCTAGGTTGCTAATATAAATGCCACTATCTATGGATAATGTAAATACCTTTTCCTTCTCCTGGTTTTTCCGAGACAGGGTTTCTCTGTGTAGCTCTGGCTGTCCTGGTAGACCAGGCTGGCCTCCAACTCACAGAGATCTGCCTGCTCCTGCTTCCCAAGTACTGGGATTAAAGTCATACACCACCACCTCGTGGCTAATGTAAATACCTTTTATTTATTTTAATTGTATGTGCATTGGTGTTTTGCTATGGGTATTGGGTCCCCTGGAGCTGGAGTCACACACAACTGTGAGCTACCAAGTAGGTGCTGGGAATTGAACCTAGGTCCTCTGGAATAGTGGTCAGTACTCTCAACCACTGAGCCATCTCTTCAGCCCCACAATGTAAATATCTTAATTACTGATGTTTAAATTATATGGTAACAAGAACAAGTACTATATGCTCTAGTACTTTAAAAATATGGCAGTGCACTAAAATTTCATTACAGTGCACATATGATCTGAAACATCATCAAAGAGTCTGAAGGCCTCCTAGAATTTACAAAGGCAAGAGGAAATGTGAGAGCAGAACTGTCTTTTCAGGATTCAGGTTACAGCATAACAACATATACACAAACACTAACATTACAGAATTTTTTCACAATAAAGTTATTACAAGTTAGAATGGATGAGAGGCAACGTCATATTTATTAAATTCCTACTACTCCAAAAGTGCTTCACCCTCTTCATACACTAGAAATTCTCAGACCCACAGAGTGGATCTCAGTCCCACAGAGTGGATCTCAGTCCCACTTAGAACCCTGTTGTGGAATATTACTTTAACCATGTAAAGGTGTGTTATGTTTGTTTATGCTTCATTTGTTTAATTATGTAAAGATGTGTTGCTATTTCACCTTACCTGCCTAAGGCACTTGACTGGTCTAATAAAAAGCCAATAACTAGGCAGTAGAAGGATAGGCAGAGCTGGTGAGCAGAGAGAATAAGTAAAAAGAATAGAGAAGAGAACGAGGGAGAAAAAGAGGGAGATGCCTGGGGCCAGCCAGCTAGACAGAGAGTACGACATACAGAATGAAAGAAAGGTAAAAAGGTAAAAAGCCCTTAGGCAAAATGTAGATGAAGAGAAACAGGTTAATTTAAGTTATAAGAGCTAGTGGGATAACCATAAGCTAAGGCTGAGCATTCATAACTAATAATAAGCCCCTGTGTTGTGATTTGGGGGCTGGTAGTCTGAGAAAGCCTGCTACAGAATCCTGACTGAAACTTTTTGAAAGACCTAAACTAAAACTGTCCAGATGGGTCAGTTCCTAACTCCAGGAACCAAGAGTGATCATAAGCATGCACTGTTTTAATTAAAATTCAAGGAGATTCAGTGACTTGCCTAAGATCACTTTAGTTTACTTTTTTTTCCTGTTGTTTATCTTATTGAGCCAGCAACTCACTATGTAGCTCTGGCTGTTCTAGAACTCACTATGTAGACAATGCTGGCCTTGAAACTATGTACCACCACACTAGGCTCAATAAGATAATGTATAACAGAAAGATCTGTAATGTGAACCCAAGAGTATATAAGTCTGGGTCATTATACTTTCCTTTATATCACCACAGTGAGAGAAAGATTTCAGAGATACTCAGGTGTGGAGTTCTCACAATTATAAGGAGAGAGAATATTAAAAGATCATGGCCAGACATGGTGGCATACTCCTTTAAGCCCAGAACTTGGGAGAGGCAGGTGGATCTCTTTGAGTTCTCTTTGAGGTTCAGGATGGCCTGGTCTACACAGCAAGTCCCAGAGCCAGGCTTACTTAATGAGACTCTATTGAAAGGAAGGAAGGAAGAAAGAAAGAAGAAAAAGAAGAGATCAAATATGATCAAGATGGGAAAAGAGAAGTCATTTGACAAGCCTTTAAGATTTTTAAATAGTAGTCACTGAGGCAGTAAAAGATGAGTTCTGGGCAGATGGGATGTTTCAGGGGATAAAGGTGCTCACAACTAAGGCTGATGGCCTGAGCTGGATCTCTGAGCTCCTCACAGCAGGAGAGAACCTACTCTTGAAAGCTGTCCTCTAAACTCTAACACTAACTCTAACACATGCAAGTGTGCCTTCCAATAAATAATTGAGTGTAATAATAATAGTAACAGAAATGAGTCCCGAGCTTCAAAGATAGACCTTAGGTAGACGACAATGACTACTACTTCTCCTCCTCCTCCTCTTCTTCTTTTAAGGTTTTTGAGACAGGGTTTCTCTTTAGCTGTCCTGGAACTTGCTCTGTAGACCAGGCTGGCCTTGAACCCACAGAGATCTGCCTGCCTCTGTCTCACAAATGCTGGGATTAAAGTGTGCTACCACCACCCTGCTTGAGTAGATTTCTTTAAATTGAATTTCTGAGTTATTTTAGAAGAAATGATAGGATATTAGAACATAGGAAATCACCTGGCAAGAGGAAAAAATATGCAGGATTTAGATTAAAGGAATTCTGACATCTGACAAACTGGGAGAAAAACAATCTGCACAGAAGACTAATTAGAGTAACCAGTAGAAAAAAGAGAGGAAGTGAGAAGACATGATGCCACAAAGCCAAGGGATAAGAGGATTTGAAGAATAAGAAGTTGACAGTGCTGGATCCTGCACACAGGTCAAATAAAAAAGACTTCTTAGAGTTCACGGACTTAATGTCATGGAGATCACTATTGAACCACACAAGAGCTACTACAGCAGATGACAGAAGAAGAAACCATGTCAGAGGTAATGATCAAGGAGCAGAAAATGTGGTTGATCTAAAAAGTGAAAACAAAGTACAATCTTGAGGAAGAGTTTGAACTGAGAAAGTTACATTCAGACTATAAAAATTAAACACATTGCTATAAAGTTTTTTAAAAACTTAATATTTTTATTTTATGTGCATTGATATGAATGTGTCAGATTCTGTGGAACCAGAGTTACAGACAGTTTTAAACTGCCATGTGGGTGCTGGAATTTAAGCCTAGATCCTCTGGAAGAGCAGTCAGTGCTCTTAACCACTGAGCCATCTCTCCAGCCCTACTGGTAAAGTTTTACCAATACTTTACATGCTATACAGATCCTAGTAAGGTGGCTCAATATGGCAGGGTAACCCAGGTAAATCTTTACACAGAAGAAGAGGCTCTAGAAGAGGATTTACGGTAGTACAGAATGGAGCACAGGGAAAAAGACTACCTTTAGGGACATGCCATGGAAGAACTGTGGGGAGGGACAGCAGAGCTAAATTATCTTTGTATGATGTTTTCATCTGCAAATAGAGAAAACAAGTTTCTTGGCAAAATTGCTCTAGGATTTCAGACAAGATGGGAGAATGTGATTAATATTGTCTTAGAACACTATAAGAGAAAACAGGAAACTTTCAAACAGATATCTGTATGTTCCTAAAATGGGAGTGTTTTGTTTACTGGTAGGCTATAACTTTCATTTTCTACATGTGGTAAGATATTGGATAGCAAAATTTAGATTTTTGACCTATTTTGAGATAAATATGTCTCATAGACTTATAGCTAATGATATTACATATTTAGTGATTCAGTAAGTATATAAATCAGAAGTATATTCTTATATTGTAGCTCATCTTGTAAGGAGAAAGAGAATAAGGAGAAAGTAAATTGGAGGAGTAAAACCAATTTGAAACAGAGTGAAAAATATGGAAGGGTAAAGGGGGCTGAAGAGATCAGAGAACCGATATAGGCAAATAGAGAAGACAGATGAGGCCCGAGACAGGCAATGTGCTAAGTCCTCCTCAATCCTTCCATTGCCTCTCCTCACTGTTTCTATATATAGCCCAGACAAAGGAACTCTAAGCTGATTGTTCTTTTGCCTTATCATGCCAGTGACATTATCTATGGTCCAGCAAGCTTTCTCTCCCAGGAGTCTTCTAATCAATACCGAACCTGACATCAACCTGGTGTTGTTATTCAGTATTCTAGGCCACTTCCTGAACTCATTCAAACAAAAGCAAAAGCAAAAGCAAAATGAACCCCACTTACATTTGGTTCTGTTAAACTAAGAACCCCCTGTGAGAAGAATGAGAAGTAAGTTTATAGAACACTGAGCTCTGTGGGAAGGCTGATAGATGTAATTTAAGAAAAAATTCTTAAAGTTAATGGAATGAAATAAGGTGTATATGTGGGGGGCAGGCTTAGATGATGAGCCACACTTAATTTAATATTCTTCTTACTGTGTGCTGAGGAGCATCTTCATTATCCCGCATGTAGAAAGGCTTGAGTGCTAACGGGTAGTTAATGACAAAGACTGGGATGTTGCCACAGTGTTTCACCAGGTACTTCTCATGTTCAGTCTGTAGATCAACACCCCACTGTAATGAGAAACAAGAAGACAGGATAAAACACACACATAAAAATGACCTGTACCAGTTCCAAGGGCTTTCTCCCCTTGGGGCTCAATGATGTGTGCAGCTGTCTGCCAAGGTTACACAGCTGACTAAACTAAAGGGAAATACTTGCTAATAAGAATGGCCAAAGGCCTGGAAAGATGAAAGCTGAAACCACTAAATAAACACTATTGTTTCTGAGCCCCATCTCAGGGAAAGGCATTCAGCAAGTGCAGCACAGGCAGGAAAACAAAATACTTTCCAAAGGGATAAAGCAGATGCAGAATTATAGTTTTTATTAATATTGCCTAGAGTTTCGCCCCTAGTTACTGTTCCTAAATCGCAGGAAATTACGTAACGGGTGATAGTCCTTCTAATACTGAGCCTTTCTTAAGTGAGATGGCTTTTCTCAGTGAATTTCTATTTCAATAAAAGAGTCAACTCATATATGAGATGTTCTTTGATGAATATGTAATAATACTATTCAGTCTATTTATTTAGTAAATACTACTGTGACTATTAAATTCCAGGTGGCATATTAAGTGTTGGATGTGGTAGTAAAACAAAACAAAACAAAAGGGTATCATTCCTGACTTCATAAAGCTTGGTAGGAAATACCAAAAAAGAAATTATAAAGCTGGGAGGTATTGGTGCACGCCTTTAATCCCAGCACTCGGGAGGCAGAGGCAGGAGTTCGAGACCAGCCTGGGCGACAAGAGCCAGGTCCAGGACAGCCTCAAAAGCCACAAAGAAACCCTGTCTCGAAAAACTAAAAAGAAAAAAAAAGAGAAATCACACAACTAATTATTATAAAACCAACAAGTGCTGGCTGATGGTGCACACCTATAATGCGGGCATCTATAATCCTGATAGTGGGAGACAGAGGCAAGATCAGCAAGTCAAGGTCATCCTCACTACACAGGAAACTGGTGGCAAGCTGTATTGCTGAGATCCTTCCTCAAGAACTAAAGAAACAACAACAAAGAGGCTCAAGCTACTGTTAAAATTTATAAGTGCATCTAACAACTGGAGATGGGACTGGTGTGAAAGACTGTTCAAACACAAAGGTAGCAAGCACATCATATCACTTACTATCGCCATGTTTGGCAGTATCCTCCAGCCCACAAACACTTTAAACAAGAAGTTTAAACAAGATGCTTAATTAGGGAAAACTATTTTAGATTTATTTTCTAAAGAGTAATTTCCCCTACTTAAATATAGATTGGCTTACATGCAACAGTTATACATAAACAAAAATTAAAAAAAGTCCTTGATTTTATAATGATAATTGGAAAACATTACAATTCTCCAATCAAGGATATTTATTTGTATTTTTGGGCTTTTAGTATGATTTTATTCTCAGTCTTTACTTCTTAGATGTTAGATTAGACACAGAAAGCACAGGGGTCTCCTTAGCCACAGACTGCCAAGAGGTACGGGTCTGCACCAAATGAGCATACACATGACTTAACTGGAAGATAATGCTGAATGAACACGTCTCTAATGGAGAAAGAGATACCATCATATAACCAGTATTTTTCTCTACCCTGTCTCCATTGGGTGTCAATCAAAACATCTATTGGCAATTTAATTTTAAAAAAAGCATCATAAGCTAGTTACATTATGTGTAATAAAGGAATGTGGATGGAGAAAAATCAAGCTATAAGAAAACATCACTCAGTTAGATGGTGGCACACACCTTTATTCCAGCACTTGGGAAGCAAAGGCAGGGAAATCTTTGAGTTCAAGGCCAGTGTAAGAGGTTACCACATGGAAGAAATAATCCCAGACCAGCAAATCAAAATAGGGCTCTCTCTCTCTCTCTCTCTCTCTCTCTCTCTCTCTCTCAATAAACATATAAATAAATAAATAAACCACCCCAAACAAAACAGGAATCAACAAATACCACTCTCAACATTAATGGTTTCAATTCCCCAATAAAAAGACACAGATTAAGAAAATGGATGTGAAAACAGGATCCATCTTCTGCTGCATCCAAGGAACACATATTAACATCAAGGATAGGTATTGCTTCAGGGTAAAAGGATGTGAAAAGATATTTCAAGAGCAAATTGACCTAAAAAGCAAGCTGGTGTAACCATTTTAACATCTGACAAAACAGACTTCAAAACAAAAGTAACCAGAAGAGATAGGGAAGGACACTACATACTCATCAAAGGAAAGATTCACCAAGAGGACATTGCAATTCTTAACATCTATGCACCAAAGACAAGGGCACCCAAGTTTGTAAAAGAAACACTACTACAGCTTAAATTACATATTGACCCTCACACACTGATATTGGGAAATTCCAGTACCCCATTCTTGCCAAAAGACAAGTCATCTAGATAAAAACTAAACAGAAATGCCAGAACTAACTGACACTATAGAAATAGATTTAACAGATATCTACAGAACATTTCACTCAAACACAAAAGAATATATCTTCTTCTCTGCACTTCATGGAACTTTGTCCAAAACTGACCACATACTCAAGACACAAAGCAAGTTTCAACAGATACAAGAAAATTGAAATATCACCCTGCATCCTTCTAACCAACATGGATTAAGGATGGATATCAACAAAAACTGAAAAAACAGAAAGCTTACAAACTCATGGAAATTGAACAAGAAAGAAATTTAAAACTTTCTAGAACTGAATGAAAACGAATACATGGGACACAATGAAGGCTGTGCTAAGAGGCAAGTTCATAGCACTAAGAGCCTACATAAAAAAAATTGGAGAGAGTAAGGCACTGATCTATGAGTATAGCAGAATGTCATTAGAAGTCATTTTATTTTATATTTAAAGACCAGTAATATTTGGTTTTACCCTAGGTCTCTGGGCTGCCTAGGCTCAGGGTTTTGGTAACCCAAGCAATGTTGGGCATGGGTTCCATCTCATGAAGTCAAATCTCATAGTAGTAACTTAATCTCAGAGATCTCATAGGAGTAACTTATCAGCACATCTGAAAGCTCTAGAACAAAAAGAAGAAATCAGACATAAAAGATATAGACATCAAGAAATAATCAGTCAGGCAGTGGCATTGAACACCTTTAATCCCAGCACCAAAGAGGCAGAAACAGGTGGATCTTTGTGAGTTCAAGGCTAGCTTGGTCTACAGAATGAGTTCCAGGATGGCCATGCCTACACAGAGAAAGTCTGTCTCAAAAAAACAAAAAAACAAAAACAAAAACAAAAACAAAAAAACTTGGGGCTAAAATCAACGAAATAGAAACTAACAAATAAAAACAATAAATACAAAGAATCAATGAAACAAAGAGTTTGCTCTTGGAGAAAATCAGTAAGATTGACAAACCCTTATCCAATTTAACTAAAAGGCAGAGAGAAAATATCCAAATTAACAAAATTAGAAATGAAAAGGGGGACATAACAACAGACACTGAGGAAATTTAGAGACTCATACGGCTACAATTAAAAAACCTGTACTCCACCAAACTGGAAAATCTAAAGGAAATGGATAATTTTCTTGATATATATCACTTACCAAAGTTAAATAAAGATCAGAAAAGTAATTTAAAAATTCTTATAACCCCATAGTGAAACAGAAGCAGTCATTAAAACCAAAAAAGCCCAGGGCCAGATGGTTTTAGTTCAGAATCCTACCAGACTTTCAAAGAAGAGTTAATGCTAATAGTCCTCAAATTATTAAAAAAAAAAAAAAACCAGAAACAGAATTTTGTGAGTTCCAGGACAGCTTGGTTTACCAGGGCAATATAGTGAGAAATGACTCAAAATTATTTTCAAACACGTCTAACAAAACTTAAAAAGCCTATGCACAGATCCACAAATACTTACAGGTGAAGTTCTGGGGTGCTTGCTTTAAGATTTCAACTGCCTCTGTATAAGAAATGCTGAGAGCAAACAAAGCAAAAGAAGTGAAAGGTTAACACAGTGGAACTACTCTACACCATGTTAGAAAAAAAAATCCAATATAATTTGTGAGGTCATACATGAGTACTAAGTAATCGGGAATTTAGGCTGATCTAACCCTATGAAAATGTGGCCTGCATGATGAAGAGAAGTGGCTGCTCAACAACTCCACTCTTGCCCGGCATGCAGTGTCCACAAAAGTCACACCAGAAAGCAAAGTTTCTCAATATTCTTGCTATGCCAATACTCTACTAATAGGTGTGAAATATTTATATTTATAAAAGTTGTCACTCATTATTTATTCACTAAGCAGACATATATGTCACAGCTCCTGGATGCTAAGCATTATTTTAGGTACTGGAGATACTATAAACAAAAAAAAGTCCCTGCCTTCCTGGATCCAAGATGTGTGTGTGTGTGGGTGAGGGCGCAATTAAACAATTAATCACAGTGCCAGGTAGCCATTATGAAGAAAAAATATAGTAGGGAGGTGTCTGGGGGTACCATTTTAGATAACATGTTCAGGAAAAGGCCCTCTGAGTTGATGACATTTGAACAGAAACCTGCATCAGAAAATGAAAAAAAAATGAACCATATAAATAACCCACATTTGTGAAAGAAACATTACTAAAGCTCAAACCACACATAAAACCACACACACTTATAGTAGGAGACTTCAACACCCCCCTTACACCATTGGACAGAACCACTAGACAGAAAGAAACAAAGGATCTGAAAGAAGTTATGACCCAACTGGGTTTAACAGATATCTATAGAACATTCCATCCAAACACAAAAGAATATACCTTCTTCTCAGCGCCACATGGAACCTTCTCAAAAATTGACCACATAGTTGGCAGCAAA